CACACACACACGCTCACACGCTCACACAGCAGAGAGCCTGGCATGCGCCGGCAGAGCACACTTGTCGGGAGCAGTGAGGCCTGGCCTGTGGTCCAGGCAGCGCCGTCCAGAGTCAGCAGCCACTGGCCCCTCAGAATCGGGGTGCAAGGCGGCGGCGCCCGCAGGAGCAGGGTTTCCTTGCAGAGGAGGAAATGTCCCAGGCTGGGCCTCGCCGTGGCGGCACAGGCGCCCCGGAAACCACAGCCCTGGCACACGAGCGAGGGGAATGCGGGTGCCACACGGTGGGGGGCGAGGCTGACAGAGTGGGGTGCGCGCGTGCCCCAGAGCTGGCTCCAGCATGAGGAGCCCCGTCTGCACTGGTCTGTGGGCACCAGGAGCCCTGCGGGCGCCGGCTCCCTGCACAGGCGGAGACGGCGATCTGCCCAGGTGCGTCTCGCGCTCAGTGACGCCCACCTGGCGCCTGGCCCGTTCGGGGCCTGCACGCGGCGGCCAGCTAAGGGCAGCTCTGGCACCGCTGGCCCTGGCTGCGGCGCGGAGGCAGCCTGGGGAGGGGCAGCGACCGCCGGGTCGTGGGAAGCTTTCCGGGGCCGGCCGGCGCCAGCCAAGACCCTTGGCCCGCCCCGGCTTCCGGAGGCCGGTGTCCACCCGTGAGAGGGAGACAGACGCGGCGGACATGGGGCAGGAGCCCCGCGGCGGTGCTCAGGCCGGGCCGTGCCACAAGCAGGCCTGGGCACGTGCTCCCAGGCCGGGTGTTTCTGGAGGGGCGCCTCCCCAAGTGCCCCACTCCAGCCGGGCAGGAGCGTTTCTGTGGGGCCAGCGGGGAGGGCGGGGGGAGGACAAAGGCGGGAGGCGGGTGAGTGGGTGACAGCGATAGCACCCGCCGGTGGGCAGGGCCGGGCGTGGCCACCTCTAGCCTCCGCCCTCTGCCGTCCCCAGCAGCACTCCTCGGGCCAGGCGGGGCCCAGGGGCCCAGGCTCCAGCCAGTCTGTCCAGAGCACAGGCAGGCACCCCCAGGCTTGGATGTGCCACAGGCCGGGGGGGTGGGCACTTCTCCAGGCGTCTGGGGCAGCTGGGCGGCCCTGGCCCGGCTCCGAGCCCTGCGACAGCTGGTGGAGTCTGGTGTCTGTCTCATCCCTGTCTGGGGCTTCTAAATTTAACCTGCTATCAGCCCGGGCTGGAGGGCCCCTCCGTGTGACTGGTGCCACTTGGACCCCGCTTTCCTGGTAACCTCTCCCTGCGCATTCCCAGCCTGCAGGGCCACAGCCCCAGCGCCCGCCAGAGCCGCGCGTGAAGAGCTGGTGCCCGGTGCCCTCGCTCTCTGATGGGACCCGGCCAGCTTCCACCTGCCGCGGCCTGGCCTGCACCCCTGTTCGGTACACACCCCGCACATAGACACCGGGCCCTTCGCAGGCAGGGACCGGAGCGCTCCGGGCTCAGCCAAGGCCCCGGGCTTGCCCACCGCACCCCCCGAGCCATCTGGGCAGAGGGCACCAGGGAGCCTGTTTTGCAATTTCCTGCCCTGGTGGCTTCGACGGGAGGCAGGATGCAGAAGCTGCTGGGTTGCCACAATGTGGAGCCCCACGCCCCCGGGGCCGCGTGAAGGACCGTCCTGGCGGACAGGCTGCCCCTGCATCCCGGGGGGCCAGGCACGGGGGCGCAGGCTGTGCACACTTCCTGCGCAGGGGGTGGAGGGCGTTTCCTGCCGAGCCACTTCTTCCCGGGCGCGGAGGCGTGTGGGTGGGGCTGGGCGCCATCTGCAGAGGCCCTGCTGGGCAGCCCCGACCCGCAGCCCCTCAGCACCCCTCCGTGAAGGGGACCCCGGTGGTGTGGGTGCAGTGAGCGAGCCCGGCGAGCCGGCACTCCCCCACGTGGCAAGGCGGCAGCCGCTCGGGAGCCCCACGGCCCACCAGAGTGAGGGCCCCCACCGACCGCCCCCGCGTGTCCTGCCTCGGCGTCTCCTGGTCCCCTGCCCCGGCATGAGAAAGCCCCAGGCCTGGGCCAGCCGGAGCCACGGCCGGAGGCGCCCTGTCCGAGGAGAGCGCCCCTTCTAAACGCCGGCCCGGCCCGCAGGGTCCTGCGAGCCAGCCAGCACCCCGCCCCAGGCCCCCCTCGCAGGCCTCCCCGCCCCAGACTGGCCGGCTAGGGCGCAGCCCCGGCCTCAGCCCCAGCCTGGCGGCGTCCCCACCCGAAGCCTGCCCACGCGGCGGTCAGGGCACAGCCGGGTGTCCGCCCTTCACACACGTCCAGACCCTAGCCAGGCGTACTTTAAAATTATATTTTATTTGTGAATATCTGTTGTGGAGTTTAAAAAAATCACGTTACATGTCCATCAAGAGTCTTGTGCCGCCTGTAAGTGCCTTGTTGGTTTTCACGGCACTCTCCAGGCCACGGACGCGCTTATTGCTGGGCCCCGTCCACGCCAGGAGGTGGGACACCGGGAGGCCGCAGGCCTGGCACGTGGCTTGGGGCAGGGCGGCGGACGGCCCAGGCGGAGCGGAGCGGGGGGACACCCTGCGACCTCCCAGGGTCTTCAGGGAGACGGGCGGGCTCGGGGGCCGGGCAGGGCCCGGGCATGCACAGTGCTGGGCCCTGCCTGGAGGGTGCTCACTCTGGACACCGGGGTGGGGGCTCCCCGCCCCAAACCAGCCGGGCCACCTCCAATGCGCTCTCCTGCCCCACAGGCCGGTCCTCCTCCTCCTCAGTGCAGTACAGACCTGAGCTCAGAGGAGGGCGCTCCTCTCCGCCTGCTAGGAAGGGGTCCTGTGAGCAGCAGGGCCCACCCCGCCTCTCTGGGGGGCAGCCTCCCTGCCACGCAGGGGCCGGCGCCCGGCCTGGCAGAGGCCGCCAGCACCAGGGGCCGCTCCCGGGGCTCCGGCCCTGTTTGGCCCAGGCCAGCCGCTCGCGCCTCGGCAGGAGTGGGGGGGATGGACGGACGTTAAGCACCCCTTGAATAGACACACCACGCGGGTAAAGGAGCAGGGGGCCCCGCCCCCAGCGGTGGCTGGGACCCCGGTAGGGTAAGTGGCTCAACTGCAGCAAAATGGATTATTTTCTTATTCGACAGTTTCTGTGCTCGGTTATTAGCTTGATGCGGGCCCAGAGATGTGCTGTGGGTTCGGCAAGCTCAGAGGAAGGTGGCTTCAGCGGGGCTCCCCAGAGAGCTCCCGGGAGCAGCTTCAAGGCAGACATGGCTGAGAAAGCTCGGCCTCGCTCAGGCCGAGCCGCGCGGACTCCTGCCCCAGACCCCCGGCCGCCGAGGCCTCCGACACGGCCCCCCTGCACCCCCCAGCCCCGGCCTGGTTGACTTGTGAGGTTAAGCAGCATGGAGAGCCGAGAGGGGCTGCCGACTGCCTGCCCCCCACCTTTCCAGCTTCAGGAATGCCTAGCTGGGGTGCCGTCCACGGCACCCCCACGCCCAGCAGTGGGGCTCGGCGCCTTCTGCCCTCTCTCGGAGCCTGGGGAGAGAAGCACATGCCCGTCTTACCTTTGCGCCAAACCCGGGCCAAGGTGGCCCGTCCTGCGGGCGTTTGGGGCCACCGTGGGTCAAAGGGCAAAGCCTTGCGCCTAGAGGTGGTGCCGGCAGACCCGTCCCGGCAAGTGGGTGCCGAGGACCGACACAGCAAACGTTCCCGCTCTCGACCTGCCACTCGGGACCTCCCGCTCTCCTCCTGGGCCCGCCGAGGCAAGTTAAGGCTGCCCAGGGGGAGAGGCCGGCACTGCTCACTGACCCTCACAGGCGGGGGCCGGCGCGGTCAGGCAGAGTCTGGCCCTGCTTTCACCTCTGCTGAAACCCAACGAGCCGCTGGTTTCGGGTCTGCGCCCCCTGCCAGGACTAGGGGAGCCTCGGGGCTCTGATCCGGGTCCCAGCACCACCCCACCTCTGGCGGAAGAGTCCGGTAGCAAAGAGATCCTGCGTTCTTTGTTTCGGGAGGGTTGGGGTTTTTTTTTGTTTTTTTGTTTTTTTCTTTAAATTCAGCTTAAGGCAGAAGTTTGGCAAAGCAAGTCTACGTAAGGCCACGTGACGGAGGCCGAGCGGACTGCCACGGGGCGCCACAGCACAACGCAGCCGCCACGGCTGGGCCTCCTGCAAAACCAGCTCCCTCCCGCCCCGAACCTCAGACAGAGGCGCTAAGGAGGGGGGAAGCAGTTGTTTGGGACTCTGTGGCGAGGGAGGCTGACCGCGGAGGCCACGGGCCGGGCCGGGGACGCTGGGGCCCAGGCATCTGTCCGGCAGGGCCTCCCGCCGAGGGGACAGGCGCGTGGGGCCGGGGAGCCCGGGCTTCGCACAGTGAGAGCCGGCCGCTGGGCGGGGAGCGGCGCGCTGCCGAGGGACGAGCAGGGAGGGTGGCTGCAGTGCATTATTATTGGCGCCCGCCGGGAGCCGCGTGTCACCGGTGCTTGGCCGGGATCACCACCAGCGGCTGCCCGTACCTGGGCCGCCACATGAGGACCTGCGCGTCGTTGGCGTTGGGCTTGACCAGGGCGCTGGCCGGGATGGGCTCGTTCTTGCTCAGGATCTTGGGCTGGTCCTGGGCAATGGGCTCCCGCAGCCGGGCGCGCTGGCCCAGGGGCCGGCTGGGGTTGACCTCGATGCTGAGTTGCATGCGCCAGTGCAGCGTCTGCAGGACGATCATGTCGTTGGTGGACGTGTTGGTGGCCACCAGCCACGTGGTGAAGCTCTGGTCCCGGTAGATGTTGGTCAGCCTGGCCACGTTGCTCTCGCTCACCGGCACGGCCCACGTGACGCTGGGGTAGAAGTTGTCGTTCATGCTGATGACGAACTTGGAGTCACGCTTGGTGGGGCCCACGATGGTGCAGGTCTCGGTGGTGTTGCCGTACCAGGGGTAGTTCACCCCGTCAGAGTCGCTGATGGCCTCGATCTTGCCCTCCTGGAGGTCCGGGAGCTCCCAGCTGGACCTGCGGGCGGAGGGGGGTTACTCCTCGGCCACCCCAGGCCTTCACTGCGCTGCGGCCCGGGGGCTGATCTCCTGGGGCCACGGTGCTCAGGCAGGAGTGGGGCCGCCCAGGCCACCAGCGCCCCGCGGGCCTGAAGGGGCGGGGCCAGACCTCCCCCAGGCGGAGGTGGGTCTCCTTCCCTTGCACCCGCGCAGCGGCAGGCCCCGGAGCCCTGTTTGGTCGGCACGCCAGGAAGGACTCCCAGTCTGGCCGGCGACCTGCCGCTCCCGGGCGAGCGCAGCCTTCCGTGGGCTCAGTGGCCTCAGCTGAAAGGGGCGACCCGGCCTCTCCCTCGTCGCACTGGGCCGGGAGCTCAGCTCAGGCTCTGCCTCCTCATACCCCACTCAGGCTGCCGCCAGCTGCAGGGGACGCCCCCAGGAGGCTGAGATGCCCCCCGCCTCTGCCCACCCCCTTCCGTCTGCTGGTGCCGGTCTAGAGCAGGAAGCCGGTGCAGCCGGAACCGCACCTGCCGGGCCCCGCCTCCTGCAGAACCGAGAAAACCTAACGCGCCCCATCCCAGCCACAGGGCCAGCTTCCCGGCCCAGCTGGCCCCGAGCCTGGACTCCCTCTGGCTGCCGGAGGCCAGAGGCCGCAGCCTGCCCGGGCAGGGAGCAGGTGTCAGGTTGTCCAGAGCTTCTGGGCTGAGCCCTGGACTCCTCACCTATGTCCCAGCCCACCTGCCCACGCAGAGGCAGGAGCAGGAAAGAGCCAGTCGGCGACTGTCCACGGCGCTGCCTGCGCTCTGCTGACGTAACAGTTACTCTCAGGTGGACGAGGTTAGCTGACCCAGCTGTGAGGGAACACGGCAGCACCAGCGAAGACCCATGGACAGCCCTGTCCAACGAGCCCCATGGACAGACACAAAGCTGGGGCCTGGGGCTTCCACCAGGTGACTCACCCGAGCGGTGGGCCCGGGCCAGGCTGCCGGGCTGGCCCCTCGCTCTTTCCCTGGGCTCGTGATGCTGATGCTGTGGACTCTGCACCAGAATCCGACACTGCGTGTGCCCAGGTGCTCTCTGGGGTCACCTCCGGGAAAGGCGTCCATGTCCTGAGAGGCAGGCTCTCCACCGAGAAGGGCAGAGGCAACCGAGGGGATAGGTGGCGGAATAGTTCAGCCTCAAAAAAGGGGTTCTGCGGCCTGGAGGACCCCAGAGGATGTGGGCACGGAGAGAGAGGATCTCCTAGTCAGCGTGGAGCCTCGGGGCCTCGGGCTGGCGCAGGCCGGGTCTCACGGGTGCAGTCGGGAGTGGGGAGCATGACAGTGCAAATGGGTTTAAAAATGGTTAAAGTGGTCAGTTTTGTGCGCTTGACCGCAGCCACCGAAAATACCCCTGCAGAAATGCCCACGTGGCGTCAGCAGAGCGAAGCCGAGGCCACTCGGAGGCAGGGGCCCGCCAGCAAGCAGGGCGCGCTCAGCGGCCACCGCCCGCCTGCACCGCCCCTGCAGACCCCCCCCCGCAGCGGGGCTGGGGTGCTGGCGCTTGGGGCGGCCTGCAGGGGTTCCTCATGCAGTGGGGAGCAGGGTCAGGCTCCCCGTGAGAGTCTGGAAGGCTGCCGCTCCCCGCAGGCTCCGTTAGCCGCAGTGTTTTTAACGGCAGGACTCCGGGAAGGGACTCCACGCTGGTCTGGCTCCATTCGCGGCCAGCGAGCTGGGCCAGCCCCAGAGCGACCCGCGCTCAGCCTCTGGCCCCAGGCTCAGGCTTCCGCTCCCTGCTCGGCCCCTGGGGCCCCCAGCCAGGGCCCGCAGAGACAGCCCTCCCGAGGTCTACTCGGAATCGGGGTGCGTGCACTCAATGGGGCAGCACGTTATCTCCCCATCAGGCGCCCGGGACCCAGCTCGGCCTGGCCACCGGCTTTGGCCCTCTCACAGCTTTGGCCCTCTGAGGCCCCGTTTCCTCCTCAGGTCGGCAGACCCCTGCAAGGTTTCGCTAGGACTGCGTGCATGAGACACACTGGGACACGGCTCTACACAGAAGCTTCCAGAAACCGCCTGCGTGAGGCTGGCGCGTCTGGGGTGCAGGGTCTCGCCCTGAAGCAGCCTGCTGCCTTCCAGCCATCTGTGTGGGCACATCACACTTGATCTGGAAGGAGCCAGCGCCGTGTTACCCTCTGGCTCCAGTTTGTTCTGGGCGGACTCTGGGCTGCAAGGCTGACCCCAGCCTCTGCCCCAGCCCTCCAGGCCTCGGCCCGCAGGCCAGCACGGGTCTGATGCTGCACAGGGCCAGCAAGGCCCAGCAACACACGGGACACGCGCGTGCCCGGTGGAGGAGGGGTTCCCAAGGACAAGCCCGGGCTCACGGCCGGACCCCGGCCCGGCCAGCCGCCTCCTCTCGGGACAGGGTGTGTGGCCTCGTGCAGGAAGCAGGAGGCACTGTCCCCCCTAACCACTCCTGGCCTCCAGGGCGAGAGTTCGTGGGCCCAGTGCACACGAGGCCCGGTCAGAGGCTGAGAACCCCAGGCGGCGGCCGTGGCTCTGGGAACCGCACACGCCCCGCCTGGGTGCACACGGGGAGGCTGCTGGCCCACCCTGCTGTCCCCGCGGGGGCGGGGCGGGGACAGCGAGCGCTCTCGGCCCCCGGAATCACTTAGCCCCCCGGCCCGCGGCACCATCCCGGTGTGCAGAGGCCCACACACGGCCCAAAGGCACGGCGGAGCTGCCCACAGGCGCTGGGGTACCCTCGGGGAGCCGCCTGACCCGCACGCAGGACGGGTGCTCCCGCTGCCGCCCAGTCGCCCTGCGGCCTCCTGGCACATGTGGGGTTAACTACCCTGACCCCAGACAGGCCCAGGCCCCCAGGATTTACCCTAAGCCTGGCCTCCCAGGGCACCTGTAGCTTCCCACCGAGTGGCTGCAGCTGTGTGGCCACGCCCCGCACACGGTGCTCACCTGCAGGGCACCAAAGCGCCAGCCCCCGACCCCGCATGCGCCCCAGGCTCCTGCTCCGCCTCCAGGAGCTGGCCTGCGGAGCTGGCCTGCGGGGAGCTCGGAGGGACCCTACCGGAGGTCACACCAGGGAGCGGAAGAGTGGGACTGCGACTGAGCAGGACGCGGCCACCACAGGGCAAGCACGGTGCCCGGTGAGTCTCAAGGGCGCCGGGGTGGGCCGGGGAGGGCGCCTGCGTCTCAAGGCCCAGCCACCAGCCGGGAGCCGGGAGCTAGGGCCCTGGGTGGAAGGCCAAGGAGCAGGTGTGCCTCAGAGCGGGGAGCTGCCCCGACTTGGGCAGGGTGCCGGGGGCACCCCCTTCCCTGCTGCTTCAGATGGGACGGTGAGCCTGGGCCGGCTGTCTCCCCTGCACCCCTGTGGGGCCCCACCTGTCTCCCAAGGGTGCCAGAGTCCCAGGGCTCTGGCTGGGGGTCCCTCGGTCCCAGACCCAGAGCCGGACCCTCCCAGCCCACCTGGTCTCAGAGTGTCCAGTCCATCCGCTCTGCTGCTGCCCACCTTCTCCTGGACTGTTATAAACCCAGAGTGTGTATTGGGGGGGCACTCCTGTGTCCCCCTTAAGAGTAATCATGCCTGGTCTCCAGTTTCCAAGATTTTACAGTTTTGTCCGACTCACTACAGGCTCCTGTCTTACAACTTTACGAAATCGGAGCCCCAGCGCAGCCCCCACAACTAGGCTGGGACCCCAGGGGGGTCTCCGCCCTGCTGACAAAGCTCCTGGGGGTGGCGGTGTCCCCTCCACGCAGACAAGGGGCCACACTCTCCGCGCCTGCCCTCCCCCCCAGCCAGCAGGGCCGGGGTCCAGGCGGAACTTCAGTCCTGGGCACCAAAGATGCTTGGCGTTTTGTTTTGTTCTGGTGCAAACCCCAGAGGCGGTGCGAAGTCAAACCCAAAAGCCGCAGCCCCGCCCGCGGCCAGCCGCTCCGCACAGTGATAAACATCCTTCGGGCCTTTCTCTCGGGGAGGCACCGGGCGCTTTCATTTTTAGTGTTTTCTTATGAGCCAAACGGGTCCGACTCTACCTATTTGACAACTTTTCAAAGAAATGTCAGGGTGAGATGGCCCGGCCTGGACACTGCCCGGCCCCAAGGCCCGACGCCCTCCTGGCCCCGTGGGCTTCTCTCCCGTGTCCACACGCTGTCAGCTCACGCTGGGGTGGCCTGTCCAGGCCGCCTGGGCCCTAGACACAGAACGGTCTAGAAGCACAATAATGAAGGGTGTGTTTCTTCGAAACGCCGGCCAGCCGCGCACCCCGCCCTGCCTGCACAGCGCCTCGGGACCCTCGCCCGCCCCGACCGCAGCCCGGCCAGAGCCACCAGGTGGCGGGGGTCCTCAGCCGGTGATGTTCTCCCTGGTCCAGGCGGTGCCTTGTCCACAGCCCCGGCCACCGCAGCTTGCAGAGTGCATCCGGATGGCAGAGGTGGCCAGGCCAGCGGGTCCAGGGGGAGCTCCCTCTGCCAGGGATGCCCCTCCCCCCACTTCCTCCCACCCCAAAGCCTGGAAACAGAGACTTCCCTCTCCCACCCCAGCCCCTGCCCTGCCAGGCCCACAGATGGGGGAGGCGGCCGCCTTCCGGGCGGCAGAGGAAGCTTCGTCCTCAATTGTTCTGAGGGCCTGAGCACAGGAAGAGACAATGTGGTCCCCAGCCCAGCCACTACTCGGGTCCCAGACCTGCCGGGAGCACGCCCCCGGCAGCACGTCAGGTTTCAGAGGCTGTACCCCCTGACAGATGGGGACCAGGAGGGGGGTTACCTGCCCTGGCCTGAGGCCTCCGTCCCTGTGCCCAGCCCGCCCCCACCCCAGGCCTCCCGGAGAGCAGCAGGCATCTCAGTGCTGGGGGCCCTCAGAGGTCAGGCTGCGATGGGCCTGTGAAAGCAGGGGCGGGGGCAGCGAGGCTCACACCCCAGCGGACACTGCCCCCACCCTCCCCGTGCGGGCACCCTGCCAGTGGACAGGCAGGGCCACCGTGGCGCTTCCCTGTGGGTGATCGCTGCACCAGGCGCTGGCTGAGGCCCCACGTGGTCGCCCCATTCAGACCGCAGCTGCCCGGGGGGGGCAGCAGCTTCCCTCCCAGGCCGGAAGGGCCGACCCAAGGGCACAGCCCCAGCAAGGGGCCTGCGGTCCACCCACACACAGCCAGACGCCCACAGACCCTCTCCTTAGGCTGCTCTCCTCCCCGCACACCCAAGTCAGAACCTGACCCAGAAGCTGGCCTGGTCTCGGGCGGGTTCCCGGGCTCGCAGGAGGGCCAGGCCCGGCGGGCGCCACCCACGCAGCCAGAAATGCCCGTCCCTGCGGGCGGGCGAGGCGCGCAGGTGGCTGAGGGAGCCTGGAGGAGGGAAGGGGGCAGGTGTCTCAGCAGGCTGGGGAGCTTCCACGGTAACGTAATGGAGGTTGCACCCCAAACCGGAGGGCAGGGAGGGCGCAGCCCTGAGCTTCCCGTCCGAGTGCACGGCCGGCGGTGCCCGGCAGCTCAAATATTTCAAACCCAGCGCGTGGTTCTGAAAAGTCCTGCTGGGTTAGACTCTCTGCCCTAGCGAATGAGGGGTGACGCGCGGGGTACCGTGGGCTTGGGCCAAGTATCTGGAGTTACCGTTTCGAATACGAGCCCATCTGTGGAGAGCGGAGACCTCCCGCCCCTCCCCTCCGGCTGCCCCTCCCCAGGGCCACAAACCAGCGGCTGAGCCGGGGTGACGTCGTCCCCCTCCCCGGACACACGTGTCCGGGTTACCGCAACGGGGTCCTGGGGCAAGGCACCCCTGGGTGGGGAACCCGGGGACCAGCAGCAGCACCCAGCAGCCCCTGACCACAGCCAGGGCCCCGCGGCCTCGGCCGCCCCGTGGTTCGGCACACCTCGCCCCGTCTGGGGACTTAAAACACGAAGGACTCATAACGCAGGACGCGCCGGGGGCAGCTGCCAGGGTCTCCCCGCTTCACATTTGAGAAGGAGCAAGGCGGGTCTTCCTGAATGACCACCCCTGTCCTGCCCAGAGCACACCCAGGGAGCCCGAGGAGGACGGGCCTCCTCTCCGTGACTCGGTTTCCGATCCTGCGGACGGGCAGTAAGTCAGGCCGCGGTAGCCTGCACCTGGCCTCTCGCCGAGGCCCCATCCCCTGAACACAGGCCCAGGAGCCTCTGAGAGGTGATGGCCATGGACACCCACTCCCCACTGCCCGCCCAGGGAGCCCTCCAGTCTGCCCTCTCTTGGGGGCTGGTCCCCTGCTTGGGGGGCCCTGGGGATAGGCCTCCAGATGGAAGGCCCAGCTCTGAAAGCCAGCGGGGCCCCAGAGGGGGGAGGGAGCACACGAAAAACACAAACCATTCATGACTTCGCGCGGTTTAAATTTGTAAAGGCCAGGAAGTGGGCCCCGAGAAAGCGGAAGAACTGGGCTGGGAGAACATTCACACAGAGGAGCCTGCATCTGCCTGAGTTCTGTTTCAGCCTGGCTTCTCAGCTTCTCATCACAGAGCCCAGGCTCCCTCCCCGCCAACACTCCAGCCACTTCCCTGCCCCCCAGTGAGCCTCAGCCCCAAGCCTTGGCCCCAGTTCGCAGATGAGGAAACCAAGGGTCAGTGCGGCTAAGCTGACCCCCAGAGAGTGGCCTGCAGTCCAGATGTGCACGGGCTTCCCCTGGCCAGGACCCGCTCCCAAGGTCACCTCAGGCCTCCCGACTCAGGCCGCCTCCAGCCACAGCGCCCAGACGGCCTGGCAGGGCACGAAAGGGAAACTGAGGCTCCAGCCCGACCTGAGCCCCGCCTCAGCACAGGGTCCAGCGGCCAGCACCCATCCCGGCCCGCTCGGCCTCCTCCTGGGCCCAGCCACAGCTTCCCGGGGAGGAAAGCGGCCGAGCGCCGAAGGGAAACCTCCCTGTCTGGCCAGCTGTCCCAGCTGCCTCGAAGGTTTCTGGGCTCATGGCTCTCAGGAAAGATCCACCCCAAATATCCAAGAATCAGGTTTCCCTTCTCAGAATGGAAAGTCAGCCCCTGCATGGATTACTGTCTGCGCTGGAGAGCCAAAGCTTGGGGGTTGAAATCAGGAACCCATGGGAGCCCCAATAAGGGTCTCGACGCACTCCTCGTGCTTCGGGGAAGCATGGTTACCCCACTTTAAGTGGTCCCTGCCTTCCTCCTGCTCCCCTCCCAACTCCAGGGTCGCTGAGGGGGGAGGCCCCCCACCCCCTCGTGAGGGCCTAGCGTCCCTCAATCAGGGAGAAGCTGCATCCCGGGCGCCCGTGTGCACCACGCCTGTGGGAGCTCGCGGAGAGGCAGGAGGCCCGGGCTGGGCCCCGGGGGACAGGCCGGGGCAGCGTCCACCGAGGGCCCACCCAGCTCAGCAGAGGTCCCCAATAGGGCCCACACACTGCCCTTCCCGCGACCGCTGCTTTGCTCACCGCGATGGCTGCCCCCAGGGACGTGCCAGGGAAGACCTGCGTCCCAGGCTCTGAGCGAGGGCGCCGTTATCCCCGGAACGCTCCGGAGAGGACAGGAGCGCGGGGGCCGGGGCTCTGCATGGCCAGGGCCCTGCCAACGCCGCCGGGCGCTGAAGCCTGATGTCTCCCCACAGCGGAGAGAGAACGCCATTGAGAAGCAAAGGGGTCTCCACACCTGCCGGCCCCTCGGCCGACAGGGCCCCCCCCCCACGGTGCCCTGGAAACCGCCCCGGAGGCAAGTCCAGGCCCAGCAGCGGTGCAGCGCCCTGGCGGCTTCCGGGAGCCCTTCTCTGCCCGGGCGCCGCAGCGTGTACCCTCAGAGCCGGCCGGGCGCCAAGGGGCCGCTCTCCGGGCACCCGGACCTCACGCCGGCTCTGCCCAAGAGGCGCCTGGGCAGGTCCCTCTGCTGTCTCGCATCTTGTGGGGACGGACACGGGAACCCCAGGGGCCAGACACAGGGGGAAGGTTCCGGGCCACCACCCCAGTCCGAAGCCACAGGCCCGTCCTCCGGGACTCACCTGGCCAAGAAGGCCCAGGGAGCAGGTTCAAAGGCCCGAAGGCCCCCCCCCCGGCCTGCGCCCCGCCCCCAGCGGCCCCCGCTCCCCTACTCACATGCCCTGCTCCCCGTACTGGTTGTAGAACTCCATGTGGCTGCACGCCTGGATCCAGCCCACTATCCAGGTCTCCTTCTTGGGGATGGGCGGCATGACCACCTGGGCCGAGGCACGGAAGTGGGGTGTCCGGTAGCGGAGCACCACGCTGGAGGACTCGTCGATGCTGGTGGGGATGGGGTCGATGGAGGCTTTCACGTCGACCACGGTGATGCCTTCCCGGAAGACTCTGGCTTTGCCCCCGATGCTCTGGATGCAGCCCATGGCACAGAGCAGCACCCTGATCTCCAGGGAAGGCCAGCAGTCCCAGAGGAAACTGGGCATTGAAAGGACGGAGGCCGCGGGACCCAGTGCAGACACCACTGCGTGGGGCTCAGGCGGGGAGGCGGGTGTCCACGGGTAGAAGGCTCACTGGAGGGGGGGGGTTCGCATATCACCTCGGGCCTGTTATAAATAAGGACTTCGCTGCATTTCAGACGCCCTGGTTCTGTCTTCTGCTAGCAGTGGACAAAAATCACCGATATTCTTTGGGTTAAAAAAAGAAAAGTTTGCAGGTTAATGAGCAATCATGTTGTGGAGACATCCAGCGCCTTCGAGCCTCGGCAGCGGGAACGCGGCTCCCGGACGTGCGCTCCAGTCCTCGCGGGGCGCAGGCGGCCGCCGCAGACGCATCAGCCGGGACGCTGCGTCCCGCGCGGGGC